CTATAAAAAAATCTGGAGAGGAGCTTACGTTGACTTTGGCTGTGCCAAAGCCTAAAGGATGTTTTCTTATTTAATTAGATAAATTCAAGAGATTTGTTTGACGTTTTGTAACCTATCCACACTTCCTACAACACATAAGTTTTTCATACAAATCACACCTGTTAACCATAATTTGTTGGATTCGAACACTATCATCTGCACTGTTTCAAAATATGAGACGATTTTGAAATCCATTTAAATTCCATTCAAATTCTACAGCTACTGCTTTTAAAATATAATTTTAGAAGGTTCGGTTTTTTGTTGTCAGAACAAAAACTTGCATCGGATATTTATGTGCCTAGTTCACATGTTACATGTGTTGGCGCATACAATAAAACAATTACATAATACGTACATCTAGGAATGTTTAAAAAAAAACCGATTTTGATAAAATCAGCATAAAAATGTTGAATTATCGGGCGATCGTTAGGGCAGCCGACTTTCGGTACAACTTGATTTGTGGCTTCAATAAAAGTCAAAATCTGTGTTATTTATTTCAAGACAATCTGAAAAATTCAAAAGTAATTTATGTAAAGATTAGAAACTCGCAAAAAAAGTCGCTCTCATAACCGTGGTCATTAAACCCCGAATTTCCTCCAGCAAACTTAGCATTTTTTATCACTTACACGGTTATAAAGATGTCTGGACGGATTAAATTAAGAAATAACCGATACCCAAATATGCGTAATTATGTCGTTACGGCGTAATCCCGAAGGTGTCATTTATGTAACGCGTGTTGGCTTGAAAGCTGCGCTTCGATTACAAATAAATGTACGTGTATTAATAATAACGCTTACATTTTTTCTCGGCACTCATGCCAAGATATTTAAAAATATTTCACATAGTTAATGCGTGTAATAATGTCACAACAACTGGTACCAACATGAATCGTGCGTAATAATTGCCGAAAAAAACAACTCGGAGTATTTTTACACCCGTGGCGCCGAAAATGAAAAACTCCGCAAAAACTGGCGCAACATTGTAACAAATCGCACTTTGAGCACTGCTATTTTTCGGATTGCCAAAACGCAAACGTGTTATTATTCGACATTATTAGCTATTAGGATGGCCAGGTGCGATTCGAACACGTAGCTTGAGGATGACTTCAAATTTATATTCTAACCACTTACTAGGTGAATTTAGAACAGCTGCGTTTTTTGCTGGTCATTTTTGCCATTGATTTTATCGTTTTGCAAAGTTCGAGGTTGGGCGCTTTTTCTGCACAGACGGTTAATTGATAACGCACGAAATTCAGATTATCAAATCTGAGTCGCCGGAAGGCCGAGGCGACATCTTGGACTCGTAGATCGTAGAGATGAGGATTTTCTGACGCGCTGGCAACCCGTGAATGGTACCGGTCCATGCCAAAACGAAAAATGAGTAATTTTAATGTATGGTCTTTCTAATTTTGCCACAAAGTTTGGACACTGTTTTAATTCTAGTTTACAAAAATTGAACACGCGCACAATTTTCTCGAGTGGGCTTTGGCCAGTTGGTTCTGACGTCACTGACATTGTTTAACTACAAATCATATGTCTGATTTTGACGCGAATCGTCCTGTTGGAGCCACTTGTCAAATTTTTACCAAAAAAATTCAAAATCACAGTTTTTATAGAATCCACATCATCTGTCTACTCTCCATAGCGCAATTTTTTTCTCAATGCTAAAATTTGGTTTGTCCTGATTTTGTTGTTTATTGCTTCCTCGACATTAGAGAGATGTTTAGGAATTATTGACTTATAAACACGGACACGCGACATTCACAAGTTGAGGTCATGGAAGATTCGCATTCCGGATACTTCCGCCCGAAAACAAACTGACGTAATTGTGGCTTAAAACCACGAACTCGAAAATGTTCGGATCAGAGTAAAGCCGCCAACAAAAACAATAATTTACCTTTGACTTTAATTGTCACTGTTAATTCTTGAAAAAAAAAGTAAGTTTGCTACGTAATTTCCTACTTTTACGTTAATTTACAAGATTTTTGAGCGCAATCCAGTTTATCCTTAACAATGCTTCGCTTGAAATAATTACCCAGAATTTTTTATTGAAATCGACATACTTAAATAACAAATTCTCGATTTTACTTTCATGAGCTTCGCTGCAACTCAAAAGTCATTTTTATATTTAATTCTGTGTTCATGGGATTTCTTTCATAGCCACACACATTTCTTAATTATTTTTACTTAAGTCTATTCTTTTAAAACAAAAACAATGTTTGCACAGGTACCCCAGAAGAACTGACTAAAGTCATTTGTTTAATATCGAAACCGGGTTTAATAGTTGTGATATTTTTGAGCTACACTGATTTTTGACAACTCTGGAGCATGTTCTAGCTGTAAAACTAAAATTTTCTGCTTTTCGGGAGATTGACAACATGGTTTTTAGTCAAAACAAGCAAATAAAAACAAACGTGCACATAATTTTGATATTTTCGTCAAGTAAGCAATGAAAAAGTGTCATCTATTTCGAAAAATTCTGCAAAACATATATAGTTTCGAAAATTAAAATATACCTTATAAATTTTATTGCCAATAATAAGTGGTATAATGCTAAAAAATATTTATGGTTCACGTCAGCTCACCCGTGTGGTGTCCGCACAGGGTCGGGTTTGCGCCATTCTTAAAATTTAAGAATAAGTAAAATACCATGTGTATGTATTTGTTTGTAATATTAGAAATAACAATTCAAGATATTTTTTTCGGACCACGTAATTATATAAAACTTAATCCCGTATAGATGGTTCTTTTTATACAGATTATTATCGTAACGAAATGGTAACTTTTGGAACATCGTTATACACAAGCCGCTGTTTTTGTCGGTTGTTTGCAAATTTGGAACAATGGCCGGGGTGCTACAAGCATGTTCTGTCAAAATAAGTAAACGATGGGATTTTTTATCCCCAGAGATAAAATATGCAGCAATATTTGTACTTTTAAATGCTCTACTAATAAAATCGTCTTCTTTCGATTATGTTAAATTCTGTGGAGTTTGACAACTAATGGATACTGGAAATCAAAATAAGATTTTTATTTCTTTTAATGTTTCTTAATCGATGAGTGTTCTAAATCATACGTTCAACCAAATCACTGTTCTGGTTTTGAAAGAGTGAACATTGACCAAGTAACTTTTAATAGCTTTATGTTCTGTTGGAGATTATGGTAATAATAATTTATAACCCTATTCACCATTTCTAAAGCTAACTACCCGAGCACGTCATAAATCTACACGTTTTGCTTCCAACCTGAAGTATAATTAAAGTGTTTACCGGTATAATCTTCAGTTATCAAGACCCATCAGAAGTCATTTGGACAATTTTCACGACTTCAGCACCGGAGTTATACACCGTGTTCAAAATTTTTGTACTAATTCTACGTTAAACCAGATTATTTTTAATTTTGGAATTTCTCAAGCACGATGTTTTTCCGGCATCACATTAGTGGTTAGATATGAAAAAAACATGAGGCAGAATTACGAATTCTAATGGTGACTGAAATTGAAGCCGAATGTAAAACAAAACATTTCTTAAATCGCTGTTGTAAAATGACTCTTACAATTTAGCCGTACTTACTTGAACGAAAAGCACATTTTTGGACTAAGCACGGCGCCGCTTTCGGTGTTTTTTCTCAACTAGATTTTTAGATCTTTGCGGTGGTGAGCTTTGATCAGAAAAAATTTTATTACAATTTTGCGTTTGTTTTGGCAAGGAATGACCCAATCCGTGCTCGAGTGTCTATTTTTAATGAGATGAAGAAAGCTGCGGTGAACCGGTGCTAAAGTCTTGGAGATGTTATGTAGATGGCGCTAGGAAGTCATCCGGAGTGCTAATGAATTGTTTCAACATTGTTGACGCCGGATAATTGTTTAATTAATGTTATAAGATTCGCCGAATTTGGTTTTTATTTTTGAGGAGTAGGTTGACGTTTGCGTTAAGCCAATGATATCATGTATTCCAAATTACAATAAATTATAATGTGAAATAACCTTTAAAAATAGAAAGCGATGCTCATCTTGTAAGTTAGTTATATTAACAATTACCTGACCGCCCACCTCCGAATTACCTACACGGTGTCGTTAGATGTTAATTGTTTTCGATAAAAACAAGTTATTTTGGAAAACACGTCGTAATAAAATATTGCGCTAAGACTTCGTTAATAGGAATGAATATTTAATATCGACGGCGTAAGTTTCCAAAAGATTGGCCATTCGTTTATGACTTGACGCAATTAAACGCTCAAGGTTCGTCTAATTACAGAAAAATTGAAATTAACGTTAATTATCCGGTGGAACAATTAGACGAAATAGTGTGTCATGTTTTTAGGAAGGTGGAGAAGAGGGAAAAGCGCGAAAGCTCGAGCGCTTATAGCGGAAGCGTTAAAATAAATAAAATCAATACAGCACTAAAAATTAGTAAGTGGACAATGGCGCAATGGCAAAAAATTCGGGATATGCGCAAAAATAGAAAAACCGGCGAGTTAAAAACTACGTTCGTGCGCAACACAGAAGTACAAGAAAAAAGTCCATTTCTGATTGGTTCCCAATAATTGCAAAATCAATACGCAGTTTAATGCAATTTAATTGATCAAACATTGACGAATTACTCCTGGAGCGAAACGGAATTCTAAAAGCGTCCACGATACCGGGGGTGGCACCCCCACCCCTCCGCCTGTCAATCGCTTTACATGCATCTACTTACGGTTTTTCGCTCCCGCGGCACCCCATTTACACTATCAACTTCTATTCATTATTTATTTTTCGGTCCGTAATTTAAACGGTACGGACCGTGGTTGCCAACCCGCACCACCAACAAACACCCATTAAAAAATAAATAAACAAAAGAGCATTACGAGTAAGCGCGTAATTTTCGCGCGTAGTATCAAAACCGAAATAGTGTCCACAGTAGTCGAAATTTGAAGGAATTGGCGCGCTCGAAAATTCAAATTGATTGGTTTAAAACTCACGTTTAGTGTGGTGTTTTAAATTTTAGCGGCTTCCGTCGTCGTCCAAAACAGTCGCAAATCAGCACTGCACTGTGTTTCACATTTCCGTAAATAAAAATGGGGATGAGTAAAAAACGCAAAAATCACTACACTGCAAAAATCCGATTGTGCACAACGCGAGCCGACAACGAGTGCATGCAATCTAGCCAGCGTTGCAATTGTTGAAACAATCGCGATCGGTCCACAGCCGCCTGCTTACTTAGTGCGTGCAGAACACTTGCGCGTCGACCTGCCGCGTTTACCGCCTACCACGATTTGAGCAGTACTTGCTCTCGGTGGCACTTAGCCTGCCATCATGGCTGCTACACTCAGATCAGAAAAACCGGCCATGTCCGTACGTCCGCCCGACTTACACTGCAACATTGCACTCTTCGTCTCTATTCGCATTCGCACCTAGCCCGCCCTCCCGCGGACGATGCGATTTTTGCGGTTTAACCGACGTTAATTGGGGCGCCGCGCTCTAGATTGATACTGTCTGGATGAGATTCTGCTGTCGGCGGGGAAATTGACAGTTGAATTTCGGAAATGAACTCGCGGATGGGCGGTGGGCGGCCGGGGGATAAATTGATTTTAATGTAAAAATTATTCGCTCCGGGGAAAATAATTAGAGGGGAATCGCCGGGATTTTTTTTTTTAAACAAAGAAGACGCTTACTCTACGTGTGCGGTAATAAGCTAAAATGGAAAAGATGCTAATTTAATAAAACCGTCACTGCAAAAATTATTATTCTGGTTGCACATTGGTAAATATTTGCAGGTAATTTCGGATCTATAAATAATCGGGAATTTTATCAGTGCAAATGTCGAGGTAAAATTGCCAATTATCTTTTAATTTATCTGTTGTTAACTTTATCGTGCAGTAATAATTTTGCTTCTACACAGTAAATTTAAATATTAGACTTCATTTTAAGTACAGTTTTTTTATTTCCCCTTATTGTGGGTTTTAAAAGCGATAAACATTTTTTCTGCCGGTTTTAAAAAACATTTTTACGTAAAATGTATTTCTTGTTAAACAAATTAATATGACAAAAATAAATGGAAAACAAGTGTATATAAACGAGATTCGTTGCACAAAAAGACATTTGTTGCTAAAATAACCTTTATGTTGATAAATGACGTGCAATCAACAAAAATCATCTCCAACTTGAGACATTTTTTTGTTAATAAATCCTTAAAAGCTTTTGATTACTCGTCATGCGACTGTAGCTTCAGTCATATTAAAATCTCGGATTTTAAACAATTTTTACTCGATTTGTTATTACAGTTATTACGTTAAATACAAATACAGATTCTCTAGGACATCGTGTTTTTACGAACCTTTTAATCTGCTGAAAAATAAATGTACACGTCATTTTTATAAATTTAGTGCTTAAACGTCACAAGAACAGAAAATCAACTTAGATCTTATTAGTGTATATTTATTTTGGGTATAGGTTTCGAACACTTGTTTTCCTCGACGCCCTTGCAATGAATTTCTCATATTTTGTCGACAATGTTTGAACCCTGCCAACAATTTCTGATTCATACTAGTTTATTACACCAACAACTAAAATATTTAAGACCTATTACAAAACAAATAGAGTAGAAAGAAGAAATAATGACTCCAAGGCCCTAAAAAAAATTACTTTTTACTAATCTGCTTAAAAGGTATTTTCTATTATTTGAATGAAACACTAACCTTTTTTCAATTACTAGACAACTTTTGGACACGTGTTTTCCTCAGCGTCCTTGGAATGAATTTCTCATATTTTGCCAACATTGTCTAAACCTTGGCCACAATTTCTGATTCATTCTACTTTAAAGTAACAACTAAAATACCTATGTAACATCTATTAGAAAACAAATAAATTTAAAAGTTTAAATGCTACAAGAACAAAAAATCCTCTAGATCTTATTTGAATGAAGAAAACTTTTTTCAACTACTGTACAATTATTTCGGTACAGATTTCTAACACTTGTTTCCTCAACGCCCCTGCAATGAATCTCTCAATTTTGCCGACATTGTTTCAACTTTGCCAACAATTTCTGATTCATCCTATCTTGAACCAACAACTAAAATATTTGACATCTAAATATTGTAAAATTATTCTCAAATTTATTCGCTAAATAACGGTTACCATCATTCTTAATAATTTTTTTATGGGGTTCTGGGTATTTGGATTTGTATTATTTGATACGTTTGCGTGCTTCTTCCTGTGGTTCGATTGAGTACCGCCGACGGTTTAGCAACTTCTGCCCATCTTGTTTCCGCTGTGTTGTTCTTGTTTCTTAGTTTTTAAATCAATCAACGTTTGGAAAATTGGTGTATAAGAAGTCTTTGTCAGTTCGTTTGAGCAAATCGCTTCCTTGTTATTCTTTAGTTTGTCGTTTTCCATCGATTCTAGTAACGTTAATTTTTTTGATACTGGATTGATGTTTCTCATTAGTTTTTGTAATTCTGTTGGATGATGTTTCCTACATACGTTGGATGAATAATTTGTGTTCTCTTTTTGTGTTTTTCTCTTTTTTCCATCCTTTTTGTTTCTCTTTTTTGTCTCTACCTCTCTTCATAAAGTTCATTCTTTAATCATAAATTAAAAGTTCTACCTATTGGTTTAAACGCTGCTTTCTAATAAAGGAAGAGTTGAAATATAAGTCACACTCACAATATATTACGGTGATTATAGAATACAGCACATCGGAGATTAGTTTCAAAAACAATTTTTCATTTTGTAATTGGAGAAGAAATTCCTACAATTGTGTGAAAGTTGAAATCAAAGTGCAAACTTATTCAAATAAAATATAATTGTAGTACAGTAATAAAAAAATTGATCCAAAGTTGTTTCGACAGAACTTCCCTCGCTCCTGAAGTATAATGAAACAAAAAACAATTTTGTGATTACGTCAAATTTTTGCAAGGACACGTATATCAATTTGGATTGGTGCAGTGTAATACTAAAAATTGTATTGTATTTCCAAAATTTTCTGGGAAAATGGAGTGAGCCGTTCCTGATTTAACCAATAAAATAAATTGTCTCATTCATTAATTTTTTGAGTCACAATCTAAAAAATAGTAATGCAATGATAAATCACAAGCAAAAACTCATTATATTTTGCACATTTTGGGTAGTATTTATTAGGCAAGATTTTGAGATGACGTCACCATTTTTTGAGGGGAATAAACATAGATTTTGATTAACAATTTACCATTCTTACAATAACTTTCAAACGTCTGGAAGATTTCAAAGTATTCAGTTCTGAGGTTTTTAATCTGATCAATAAAAAATTGGTCGAAGGCTATCAGTATAATCCGACAAATCCACCTAGCCTTTAAAAAAATTATAAAATTCGATTTTACGACTTTCGTTTTATAGAAGAGGCATAAATAACACCCCTCGCCCTTCAGCAGTAGGTAATAGCAATCTGAAGCTAAAGTATTTATTTCTGTTAATTATTATTTAAATTATTAATTAAATCACAATAAAACAAAATGTTCTGAATTAATAATGATAAATTCGTACACTACAAGTATATGAGTATATTTTTGTGTAACATTCAAATCATTTTAGAATACCATTCATTGAAATGACCTCATCAAATTATTGGTGGGGATGATTACCCAAATTTTGGTTAACCATCTACAAGATATTTCTAATATACATACAAAATTTGACAACAATCAGTTCAGCAGTTTCGGAGATTACGTCTCTAATAAAAATGAATACAGGCAGACAGACAGACAGACGGAAACGAGAGATTAGTTTTTTCGTACTGTTGGGGTGATGAAACGTCGAGAAAACATAAAAGTGGCCATTCGATTACAGTATAATCTCACTAATCTGGCACTTCGATAGATCGGCGCGTCCAATAATCTGGCACCCTCCGCCCACGCCTCCCTCGCCCCTCTACACCTGTCTAGCAGTCTAACCTCAAAACTTATCACGTGCACGTGCTTACGTATTTTTTTTTTTCAAGTGAGAATAGTTTATAGTTAAAAATGTCAAATAAACGCATATTTTATTCATTACCTATGACTTTTTCACTATAGTCCACTAATACGAACATTTCAATAATCCGGCACCCTCTGGTTTTTAATAGTGCAGGATTAGTGAGATTATACTGTATATAGTTCCTTAGCTTATGCTCGGGAAGTAATAAATGTGAAATTACAAGATTTTATTAAATAAACAAAATTAAATTACAAAATTAAGAAGTTTTTATTCCAAATTACTTCTACGTAGTCAATATTCGAGAGAAAGAGGGAAGCTGACACAAGTATCAACATTTCTAAGTTCTTAAATAGTAGAAATTTAAGAATTTCGATATTTTCTAAAATATTTAACCTTTTTTTCAAATTTAGAATAGATACATTGAATTTTGCACTCTCATACATTTGGATACAGGAATTTCTCTATAAAAATTTTACAAGTGAAGATGAAAATTTATTTCCAAAACTAGTATTCCACGTAAAGTACTTATTCTATGACTGATTAATACAATGCATTCTTTCTTTTCGATTATATTTTTGCCATTCTCTTAATATTTGTATTTAAAAATTAATTTTGAAACAAAGTATTTCTCACTGATTACTTTGATTTATTTCATGTTCAATTTTTCCCATGAAATTAATATCTATCTTTTGAGCTTCTTTCAATTTCCATTATTTCCTTTCTGGACTTTAACCTTTTTTGCGTACTTTTCTTCCTGTGAATTTTGTTATCTGAGCAAACTTTGTAAATTTCTGGCCGAACTTCCATCAATTTTTCGAAAAAAAATCTTTCATAATTTCTGCAACGTTCAATATAAATTTTTCTAGCTCTTTGTTCAGGTTGAAGGTTCGTGAATTTATTTTAACCATCCCATAAATCCTTAGTATTGTAAGATCCAGGGATTACATTCTTTGTTAGCACGTGTTTTTAAGTACTTTTTAGTTTGTTTCTTCCAAGCTGTTTTTTTTTTTTTTCAAATTAATAACCGAACTAAATTTATCTACAAAGTACAAAAACAGGTTTCCCGAGCTTACGTTTTATTACAAATACTGAGAAACAGAACAATAAATCGATTATTTAATTACTATTTTGGTAACAATTTATTTTTAAATATTTTTCGAAATATTCCAACAAAAGTTTTTCCGGTGATTCTAAAGTATGTATTTCTAAATAGAAAAACTGCATACTGCGTCCACAGATGTAACAATAGTTATCGGTTTAGAGCAGACGCGACAAAACACAGTCCCTTCTTGAACAATAAGTTCAAGAAAAGGGTTAATCCATAAATTAATTTGAATTATCTTCGACATATTGGCACACTTGTATTGCTTTAAATGATTTCAATTCGAATGAAAAATAACAGGATAAAGTCCTTTCGACCACAATAA